TTATGACACATAATATTTGTCATATTTATTCACAAAATTCCATCATATGAAGTGTTAGGAAAGGTTGCCTATTAGGATATTTTATAGAGTGTCGCTAAAAAAGACTATGCCATCAAAATTATATGTCATGAAAGTTAATTTTAGGGCATTATGAAGATGCATCTAACCTTATGCCAAATGGCCAGCTAAGTGACAACATTGTTTGATACCCCAATATATCATGTGCCCTTGTAGATACATATTATGGCACATTAAGGTGACCAAAATAGCCATTATTTTTTGTGGTGTACAATAATCTCCATAATACATAATTTTAAATATTTTAATACTCTATATATATAATTATCAATGAATTTAAATAAATTTAATTTAAATGAATTAAGAATAAAACTAAATATATAAATAATGCTGTTTACTTAAATAGTCAAAAAATTTTATTATTCTTATGGTATACTAAAATATTTATTATTAAATTATTCTTATTTCATGATTACAATATATTTTTTAAATAAGTTAAAAAAATAATATTATTATTTTAGTTAAATTAATCATATTACTGATAAGCAATTAAAATAATTGTTCAAGTGGTATATAATTATATGACTACAATAATACAAATACTTTCGATAATTCTTCATTTATAACATAATTAAATATTCAATATATAGTAAAAATAATTATTTAAAGATTTATAATTAAATGAATAAATTAATTATATATTTTAGTTTCAGATATTTATTTTCAATATAAAATATACAAATAATATTAAAAATTATTCTTATTAATAAACAATAATAAGTGTAGTGTAAACAATTTATAATAAACGTAAATGTAAAAATAATATTATTTACTTTTACTAAAAAAAAAAATCTAATATAATTTATCTATAATATACTAATTTAATCGTGTGTTTTATCTATAATATACTAAAAAAAATTCCTAAATAATGTTAATATCGTTAAAAAATGATTATTAAAACCTGAAAAAAATAAAATTAAAAATGTTTAGATGTGGAAAATCGTAATCCGCATTAAATAGAATGCAAAAAATGATTCCCGCCTATTGTGAATGCGGAAATAATTTGTTCGCATTCTATTGAAATTTTTTTACAGCATTGTGTTAGGTGGATGAGTGGCTTTTCCCTTATAGAGAATATGAAATGAGCATATACATGAAAAGTTTGGAGTAGCTCTAGTGTAAGATAAGATTAAAGGGAGACCCCTTAGTTGGTTTGGTCGCATTAGACGGAGGCCTTTCAATGACCCGGTCGGGAAAGTTGAGGTATTAGATTTGACTTATGTTAGGAAAGGTACAAGTAGACATCAAAAGACTTGGTTCGAAAATTTTAGAAATTATCTTTCTTTATTAGATTTAAATGAGAATTTGACTTTTAATAGGAGAATGGTGAAATGGATTCATGTAGTTGACTTCATGTAGTGGGACAAATATTTGATGTTGTTGTTGTAGTATTGTCTTTACTCGCTTGTAATTGTGAGGGCTACGGGGCAACCCAAAGACCTTAATTGTCATAGCATCTTTAATAAAAATAGTGTTTCACTTTTTTTTTCTCTGTCCCTCCTTTTTTAGTTTTCTATTTTTCATAGTCAATCTTACGTATAAAGTTTTAGTATTGCCGTGAATAAAGTTTGATTTAACATCTGTAAAAATGTTGCGAGCGTGAATTGATGCGAGTGAAAGACAAGAAAAAGGGCACATTTTTTTATTTTTTTTTTTCCACATCCTCTCTAATGTGTAATTTGGTTCTCTGTATTTATTCTTTTTTAAATTATTTTGCACATGTGCTTCTTACACTTAATTTTGTTTAAAACATATTCCTTTTTATAAATTGACTTTATCATTTTAAAAAAATTTGGACTAATTAATATTGTGATTTTCATATTCAACAATTAAAGAAAAAGTCATTATCATAATCATTAGTGCACTAAGGAAGCACTTCATTTGAGTCATCATATGATTTCACGATTATGAACATTCATTTACAATATTTTTTTATTAATTTTTCTAAGAGCCAGTGGAAGTAAAATCGAGAAGGTAAACCTAAAAACAATAATAATAATAATAATAATAATAACCAAAACAAATTCATATAAAAAATCTCTTCCAAGCAATCAGAAAATTAAATTGAGTTTGTAAAAAATTAAAACGGGAAGAGATCAGTTTACAACCAAATTAAAATTAGCTGTAAGTTCAGAAATATATGATAAGTCTGTAGTTTTTAAGTAGATCAAAAGTCTTAGGCTTCGTTTAGGATGACTTTCTTACTGCTTCTTAATGCAGCCTTCTAGTACAAAAATTATAATTTTTATACTATAAAGCTATTTTAAGAAGCTGTAAGAAAGTCATCCGAATCGAAGCCTTAATTAGTAGAGCAATTAAACAGTTCTAACAACCAAAGAAAGAACATACACTTGTTGTTGCTTTTGGATCGTAGACATTTTAATGGGTAATGTTCACCTCGGAGAGCGCCACTTCGCTCTTCCCTTCATTTGACTGCCGCTTTGTAGACTTATTGTAAATTGCATGCAGCAGCAATTGAGCTATAGATCTTCAACATGAAAAATTAGATTTTTGTCTAACTCTATTGAAGATTTGTCATCAATATGAATCTTAGTTATTTTTTATTATGAAAAACTTAAATCCTTAAACAAGTTTCAAAGTTAAATTGAATGACAAATACATGAGGTGGACGACATTGACTAAATATAGAAAAGTTAAGGAGGTAACAAAAGCAATATTTAACAGAAGAGAATACTTATTTTTTATTACTTAAAGATAACATCAAAATTTAAACCATTAGTACTTCCATCAATCTAACGGCTAGAATTAACTCTCTAGAAAACTTTTCTATTTTTAATCATGAACACATTAAATACTATTTAAAATTTTTTTAAGAATTATTCTAGAATAAGCTTTTAATATTCCCAAGGATTATTCTAGAACATTTGCTCTAATTAGGCAACTAAAACCTAAAGAAAATTGAGCCAAAGTTACGCTTAACTTTCAATAATTAA